GGTTTCGGGTTTATGGGTTTAGGTTTCAGGGGTTTGGGATTTAGGGTTTAGGGGTTTGGGGGTTTAGGGCTTAGGTTCTTAGGGGTTTAGGTTTGGGGCTGAGTGGTTTAGGGTCTGGGGGTTTAGGGGATTTAGGGGTTTAGGGTATAGGGCTCAGTTAAAATCAGGATGTGTACTCATGTACGGGGACATGTATAAAGTTGTCTAGGGACATATAGGATTCAATCACGGCGTAGGATTTGCAAGACTTGGTGATGTTACCCTAGTAATGAACAATAGATTAGAAAGAACAAAGAGACTTTAGAATGGACCCCATCTCAGCCCCCTTCGACACATCCCTACACATCTCCATCTACCCTTCAAAAAGCAGACTGTAGCGAAAGCCGCAAAAGGTCAACTGTGGAGGATGTGGTGTGGGGTCTTTCAGATGTGACGTGTTCCAGATGTGTTCCCGCAACGTTACCACCTGCAAAGCGAAATGGCTGATGACATCTTACGACGCAAGAACCCCAAGCTCAAATCTTCTGCCCTGACCCCAAGCCCAGAACCCAATTGAGACCAGATCGTACTTGCAGGTTGGCGCAGCCCTCCTCATGCAGACAGACCCTGACAGCGGAGGCACGGGCTTAAGGCTTCGGGTCACGGAAGCGCAATTTTGACTACCGCTCTTCTCTTGTAAATGGCTCTAAAGATGAATTTGCGCACTCGAGTTGCTGAGGATTGTTTAGTAACTCTCGAAGAGATGTCTGCCTGGCTGCCAGCAGCAATGAGATGAGAGGTTCATCTTGTTTTGGTTGTGGATGAGGGGGTTTAGGAGACGAACCAGCGCTGTGGCCCAAAAACGATCCAGCTGCGGCGTCACTTTGGGGGCCACGCGCTTCAATCTGACACTCAGATCTGCATAGGAATTCTATAACCACAAAAAAACAGTATAGTAGTTTACATGTTCTTTTCCTTTCTTTCCATTCTCCCATTGTAGCAATTATTATTGTTCTTATTACTATTCCTCTTGTTGCTCTTATTATTCGGGTTCTTGTTTGGACCCTGCAAAGGGGATTGCTACATAGGGGCTCTATCTGTGTTGCAGGCAGTGCAAAACTAGGATGCCACACTAAAGGCAGCGCCAAAGCTTGTTGTTGACAGAGCACAGGGGCTCCTGCAGGTATCTCTATCAATCCTGAGGCCCAACCCTACATTGTTTCAATCGTTATACATCTCCATATCAAAACCGCCAAGCCCTAAACTCAACAGCCATGACCTGGGGGAAGGTCCGGTGATCTCCATTGGCTGGCCAGTTCGGCTGATCGAGGCGCACTGCGCAGCGTTTACTCATGTAATGGGGTTTTGGCCTCTTACAGTCTGGGGGCTTATACAGGGGCTGCTTTACGAAGCCTTTCTTCCATTAGTAAGCTGCATGAGCATGCAGCTGATGGGAAACTTTGCAGACATCTTCTTGCAGCCTCTTGGCGCTCTGCAAATGCGAGGATCTGCGGTGGAATTTGTGTAAGAGAGACGGGGAATAATACCTTGGCTTTCTGCCCAGACCGTAGGAAGCCGATTAAGTTGCCATCTTGACGCCCCATAACATTTTGGGATCGAGGCAAAACATAGCTACATAATTCTCACCCATATCAGAGCATCGGGGCTTCTTTGCAACCCGCGCTGGCTGACCTGGACCCAGCCTTCATCGCCTGCATTTGGGCCTGTTCAGACAGGAGGCATGCTTCCAATCTCCTCAGATGGTTTCATTGGCACGAACTTGCCACAGAAAGCCATCGAAGGTTCTGCTTGAAGGTTTCAGGCGGCGACGAAGTAATATTCAGTCCGCTACGTAGTCTGGGAAGCTGCGACCTCTAATCCCTATAAACCACTAGATGATCCCGATTTGCATGTCATCCCCTATTTTCTTTTCAATTTTTGATTCTCAATTATGGGGCAGTATAATCCAATATGACCCTGGTCTTGGGAAACTTAAGCCCAACACAATTCTTCGTAAGTAGATCCCCGAACACACTGGGTCCTTCTTGCGAGTAGATTCATAAAACTTGGTCATTCCTCCTCACAGTAACAGTGCTTACAGGGGTTTCTTTCCGGGGCAACTATAACAGGTTTTATGTATTGCGGCAACTGTTAGTGTAAGAGGGAAGGACCTAACTTAAAACTTATCTTATTGCTGCATAAGGGGGAGTGGGGGAGTGAATATAGGCGCTATGACAGGGGTATGTACGGATTTTATATGGGGATTATTACAAGGATCCACTCCCCCACCCTTGTTCAAGCACCTCTGGACTCGACTCGAAAGCCTCAAGCTTAAAATGTCAAACTTAAATCTAAGCCCTTAAACCCATAAACACTAAACCCCGAAACCCAGAAATGCTCAACCCAAAGCCCTAAAATTAATTTTGTTGGCTTGGCAGGCCTTAGTGGCTCGGAGTGATTCGGAACCACAGCTCCTGGTACCTACTGCGCGGCTGTGTGTGGAGGCAGGGAGGGTTTCTCTGGGTACCGTAACGTTCTAGGGTTTGGGGGTTAGGGTTAGGGTAGCACTCTTTTCCCTTTGGATCTTGGGGTCTCGGTATTAAAGCTGCCCATGAGGAAAAAGGGTACCCTCATTATTAAGACTGGGGAACCTAGGTATGCGGAACCCTAACTGCTCACAGTTTACTGTAGTCTCCCTAAGAACTCTGTTCAATTTTGATGCAGTATAACGCCCTCAAGCAGCTTTCAAAGGGAATGTCTTTATTGTAGGTCCAGGGGGAGTTCAGTCTAGTGGCTTTTACACTTTAATTTCTAGGTATAACCATAAAGCTGTAGGTGATTGGGATTATAGGTATGCATGTAGAGGTTTAGGGAGGTATGTACGACGAAAGGTCTGAACTGGGACCAGTGTGTCAATGGGGGACGCTTTTGACAATTGAGAGTTGGGCATGTATTGGATAGCGGTTCGCAGCTTCAATCCACCAAGCGATCCACAGTTGTCTAGTGGAGTAGGGGGCTCTTGGCACGAAAATCCGCATTTGTCATTGCTTTCGAACCTATTAGTAGCGTCTGTCATTTGAGGTTTTAGCAATCTATGTTGGAGCGCAACAAAAGTGAAGGAGCTTCCGTGTGGGAGGAGATGTTCGTCCCTAGTGCGTCAGATGCATCTGCATTGTTGGGCTTACCATGCCCGCTGTCGGCTGCTTGTGATGGATGTCAACCGGATTTGGGGGTACGAGGTTTCAATATAATTCACAAAGTTGCGCCTGAAAGCCAAAAACTTGAACCTCACGTAAACCTGGAGCGGCGCTGTGATTCTGAGCCTGGCCTCCCTGTCAGGCAGTGCGAAACTTCGTAGTCGAGGCGGCCAAGCATACGGGGTTTCGGATTATCAAGGTATGGCAGCTCTCTCTTTCCGGGGAGTTAGGTGCACTTGGGATGGGTACTGACGGTTGTTTCTTCGAAGACCATCATGGCAGCAACTGGGCTCCTAATCATGCGATGCTAGATGACCCCTTTCACTTGTCCAGCTTCAAAAAATCACGTCAGACATGCTTCTGCGCAGCGGCTGGCACTAGCCTGGACCGCTCCTAGCCTATGAAGGTCTATGCCCCCTGTCCATGCGACGGAGTAGATGGGCCGTGACTTGTGCTGGTACGTCCTAATATAACCCTAATATAACCCCAATATAACCCAAATATAACCCCAATACAACCCCAATATAATCCCTCGTCTTTTGGCCGAATCTCATCCCTGCACCTGAAGTCGCCCATGTGCAGACATCCAGCCACAGAAGCTTGGCTCTTCCTGACTTGTGGCGAGCGATGCTGCAGCTACTGTCCCGGTCTCAGCGTGACAACAGGGGAAGCCCTCCCATGTTGGAAAAAATCCGGGATCCCTGGTTTGGAATTCCAATGAACCTGACTGAAAGTAACTTCGGACTGCTTTGGCGGTGATGTCTACAGCCAAAGGGTCAAGGTTCATTTTTTGCGTAAGCTTCTGCTGCAGTGAGGCGGTGTTTCCTTGTTGAGAACAAGGGCAGGAATCCCAGGAAGAACCTGCCCAGTAGTATTACCCTCTGATAGTAGAGAATCAAATGGAAAACAAAATGGGAACCGAAATGGAAACCAGGGTTATATAGGGTTTATAGGGTTTAGGGTTTCCCAAAAATAGGGGTAAGCCTGTGGGGAGCTAGAATTCTTCTAGCTCAAGTTGCTAGCATGGTCGTTTTCAGTATCCACTGTGACCAGTTATTCCAACCTGTTCATGACATGGCGAACATGGGGAATATATCCATACAGGTTTTGCTCAGGTGTCTGGAGAAGACATTGTACAGGCTTCTTGAGGAATATTGGTGAGCGTATACATTCGGTGTCCAGCTGGGGAGACCTTACCCCCAAATCCTAAATAAACACCATAGGCCAGAACCCTAAACCCTAAACCCCTGAACCCTAAACCTAAACAAACACTCTAGGCCAGAACCCTACACCCCAAACCCTAAACCTAAAGAAACACCATAGGCCAGATCAGAGAATGCACCTGCTCTACTGGCATATGGGTGGTTGTCAAAATTATGGTCCCTTTTTGGATCCTCATTATAATACCGCACCTAATATTTAGGGTACTCAAAAAGGGACCATAATTTTGACAGCCACCCATATAACTCGCGTTATCCTCTCCAGGGAACTCCGCACTCTAGCCTATGGGTGGTAAAAGGGCTTAGGGTTTCAGGGCTAAGGGTATCCATCAGAGCAAAAAGTTAAACAAATTGGATTTCCCAAAAATGGGGATATTTTTTGGGTGGTCACCATTCTAAGGACTATCGTCTTTTTCGTCTGTATTGGCCCCCTGTTTAGGGAAGCTACCAAATATGCCACGCCTGTAGGGCGGTAGAATGCTTCTCGCAACGCTTTGAATCTTTTCTTCGACTTCTCATTCCAATATATTGGAATTATTGGTTACATGGCAAACCCTGTCAGCACTTCATAAAGCCCCCATACAACACCCCTTAAGCTCATGTTACATGGCAAGAGGTTCCGCGCGGCTCCTACACCATCCCGAGCGCTGTGGCCCAGCGCAAAGGACAAGGAGGCAGTTTAGGCTTTAGGGTTGAAGGTGTTTTATGATTTGGGGTCTTGGTGACCCAGGATTTTGAGTCATAAGCGTATAGACGATTCGAAGCGAGGTGCGTTTTGTTGAAAGATCACATGCACATGACATTACGTGAAGCTTATAAGCTGATGAGAATGCTACCTTGCAGACTCAAGTGCCAGTTGTGTCAACGCATCCAACCTGTTTGTCTCATTGGGTCAGACTGACTTCCAGCAAGTCACGGTACACGACCTCCATTGACATTCTGGGTTGCTGTTAAGGAACTTAAATTAAGTTACTATATTGGGGAAGCCCTATTGTTTACTATATATACCCATTATGGTAACTTAATTTAAGTTCCTTAACAGCAACCCAGTTTATTGATGAGCTGCACATCCTCCTTGTAGCGATGGAAGTGGTCGCAGGCCACGTCCGCAGTAGC